GGAACACTGATGCCACTACGTTGTAACGAAACCGACACTGAAAGCGAATCTCACCTGTGCCATGTTACCTCGCCCGCAATTACAGGGAATCTCACATTCCCTGTACGTGGGCACCCCGGGGCAGGACCAATGTTGCCTCAGGTTCACTTTGGCTGGTGTTTTTTTGGCGCGTCGCCTCTCACACCATTGGGCAGTTTCGCTGCAGCATCCAGTGTTGGCCAGTCCTAACTTGGCAGACATGTGGTGCTGGCGGGCTGCCAAGGTTCCTGCCCCGTACCCATCATGTGCGGTGCGTTAGGGTTGGGCTGTGCTGGCAAGCACCGTGCCATCCTTCTTGAAGTCGGGGTGAGATGATGATGCCTCCACGCCGCCCAGCCCACCCACCGTTTCCGCCACCCTTCTTGTCCAACCTTTGCATCAGAACCAGGGTTTCCCTCGTTCACCCTAGTGTACCAGGAGGCAGCCAGCCGAGGCCTGAGTTTTGCGCTTGCAATCCCTTGCCTTCGCAGTTGTCTCTAGGTTAGATGCGAGGCCGTACGCGCTGCTTACCATGGCGGAGCAGCTTGATGGCACGGAAAGAAACGGCGACCACGCCGGTGCTGCGCATCGCCAGCCGCATGTAGACCGTACAGAAGCTGTGACCGGCATCGACCTGTTGTTTTCAGGCTTAGCGCAGGTCAACGTCAATGAGAGGCAACCTGAACTAGAGCCGCCAGACAAGATACCGTTCGAGCACATAGATCTGGAGCCGCTCTGTGCGTCCCCGTCAGCGCCAGACATCGAGCAAGACACTTCACCGCCTCCAGCTGACAATACCACTCCTGAACCAGAGGCCAAGAAAACCGGCCGATACACGCAGTCAACGCTGCCATTCATTCCTAAGGCCGCAGTCGACGGGGCTACTGTGCCTGCGCCAACCGACCAACGGTCGTCGCCCGTGATAACAAAAACGCAGGAGTCGCCATCTGTTCCAGGTCCTTCGAAGCAGTCTGGACGCGACGCGCTCTACGCCGAGGCTCTGTATAAGTACAAGGCTGAGTGGCTGGAGAGGTTTGAGTGGCTAATTCTACTGCGGCAATCTGACGGTCTCCCTGCTTTCAAATGCTCTATCTGTACCGAGCATGCAGGTTATGCTGGAAAGTGCGGGAAAGGCGGGAAGGGCGCCTCAGACGTACAGACTCAGGCGTTCAAGCGGCACGCGCAAACAACCAAGCACAAGGAGGCGGTCAAGAACCAGGCGAAGCTTCTTGCTGAAGCTGGCCGGCAGCCGCGTATCAACGGTGACAACCTCGCTCGTGACACCGAGAAGGAGCGGGTCATCAAGCTGTGTGACTCCCTCCTCTTCGTGACCAAGCAGGATGCACCCATAGAACTATGGGTGAACCTCGTTCGCTACCTCGCGGAGCAGAAGGTGCCGGGATTTCCCGCGAAAGGATACGGCACCTACTACACCACGTGAGTAAACGCCGGGTTTTCATGTTCTTCGTGTTGTGTGTGTTTAACTTTTGGGCACGCTCTAACCGTGATTCACATGCGCCACAGGTACGGCTTTGGCCAGCTCACACAGTCAATCGCGACATGGTTACACACCACGCAGCTCGAGCACATCCAAGCAAGCCCGTACATCGGACTCACTTGTGACGAGAGCACAGACAGGTGTCGAGGAAAACACATGATCCTTTTCGTTACTTTCATCCGTGAGAATCGACCGGTCACTGAGTTTCTGGCCCTGCTGACTGTGGAGAAGTGCGACGCTGCATCTCTCCTCTCAGTGTTTCTGTCTCACTTGCAGGCTCTCGGCATCGACCTTGCCCGGATCGCTGGTATAAGCACCGATGGGGCGAAGGTGATGATGGGACGCAAGAACGGCCTCGTCGTACGGCTTCGCCTCCGCGTTCCACATCTCGTCTCAAGCCACTGTGTTGCCCACAGGTACGTTTTTTGTTGCACCATGCGTAAACTGCTTGACGTGACTGTATCATCCTATGCTAATATCCTGTGTTGCTCGCTTGGGTTTTCTTGTGCCTGCAGGGAGGCGCTCGCAGCAAAACATGCAGCCCGGGCCCTTCCCGAGTTCGACATGGTTGACAGCCTGATCCGTCAACTCGCAGAGCATCTCGGCCGTTCCGGCCCCTGGCATCAACGCTTTATGGAGCTTCAAGAACTCTTCACGTCCACGAACCTGGAGCTTCAGGGGATTCACACGGTCCGCTGGCTCTCCAGGGGTGACGCTGTTTTGCGTCTGGTGGCCGTCTTCCCCGCGATCATCGTCATGCTGTACGAGTGGGACGAGACGCTGTACGAGCTCGCCACGAGCTACAGGTTTCACTTCCTCTTGTACTTCCTGGCCGACGTGCTCGAGCAGCTGAACATCCTGAACAATTCTTTCCAGCAGCGAGAGGTGAGCGACTTGGCGTTTCCGTGTGTGCTTAACTTGTCTTGATGTCTTGTTATTGTATTTGTGGCTTCTGTGTGTGTTTGTCATTGCAGTTATATTGTTGACAGTCAAACAAAACATTATTTGTGTGAGAAAGCACCCCCAATCTCGACTGCCGTGTTTCCCGCAATGTTATTTCTTTCGCCCAAACATAGCTTGACATTGCAGGTGTGCACGCGCAGATCAGGAGAACCATCTCCTTCCTAGAGACCCGCTACGTCGACTGCGGCGATGATTTTGGGGGCGGGTTGAGCGCGCGCCTGTCCCCGTTCATCATGAAGTACGGGCCGGACAGTGACAACCCTGAGGTGACGGTGCAAGGAGTGGACTCAGACGGTCGGCCCACTAAACACACGTTCAAACTGCACGAGAACCCGAGCGAGGACTACCCAACGCTGGGAAATCACTACAACTGCGTGGATCTCTGCACCTCGTTTGCAGAGGCGCTCGTGCGCAACCTCACCAAGAGGTTTGCAGATTTGGACTCCCTTGTGGGAGTCCGGCTGTTCATGCCCGATGAGTACCCACCAGAGAGAGGAGAGCGCCACAAGCAGTGTCTCGAGTGGCTCATGTCACTCGTCAGGCTGTTCAGGGCAGTGGAGACAGACTACATCCTTCCTGGTACGTGTTTATTGATTGTGCACCAGTGCTGTACTCAGCGTAACATTTTGAACGTAAAGTTCTGTGTTGGTGTCTGCCTCTGCCCTGTTGGTCAGTCATCCTAACGATCACTTATCTGCTTTGTCTGGCAGGGATCGACAAGCGCCGGGCGATCAAAGAGCTGCGAGCCTTTTGCCCCATCCTCGCAGGTGCCCCGAAGACCGAGAGAAGCTTCCATGCCGGCCTCACTGCGATGCTGAAGACAAGCGACTGGACGACCAGCTACCCCAACCTTGTGCGTCTCTGGGTCGCTGTCGCCGTACTGCCGCTGAGCACAGTGGAATGTGAGCGCGGGTTTTCCCGCCAAAACATCATCAAGTCGTGGCAGCGTGGGAGCCTCAAAGACGCCCGCCTTGAAGATCTCGTCACGATGTCGCTCCTCGAGTACGTGCCCGACTACAACGAAATCGTGCAGGTCTGGCGCAGCTACAAGAAGCGCCGGCCCTTTGGCAATGTGGCAGCAGCTCCAGCAAGAGAGGGGCAGGGTAGTGGCAGGGGAAAGGAGGCAGAGGCAGTACAGGAGTGGGAAGCAGAGCCAAAGGCTCAGGGGGGTGATGATGATGATGGCTCTGATTCCGATGATGATGCATGCATGACCCCTATTAGAGATTCTTAGATTATAACTGCAGCAACTCTTCTTGTGACTATTTATTTTAAATGTAGGAGTCTGAAATATAGTCAGTGTTTTTGCAAATGGTACACTGATGCATCAGGCTTTGAAAATTTGCAACACTGAACTTTCAGCTTTTTTTTTTTTAGGACACTGACAATCAGAGTTCCCACGCAGGGGGACCCTGATGGCCTGACGACCCTAAAAGTGAATCTGAGGCCCTGGTTTGAATGAAAGTACTTGAACCACCTTGCGCTAGTATGTGAGGGCAAAGTAAGTTGATTAAACAAGCAAATACAAAGGTTTATATAAGAGTACAAGGAATACGAATAGATAAGTTAAAACCGTTTTACTGTTGCGATTCGCTACAGTGCGACTCGGGCAACTGCTCAATGTCGAGTCAGTTGTGTGTCCTTGCTGTCGCGCTGTATTTGTCAAGTCAAAGGTCGCTGACCTTTGACCTTCTCGTAACCTCCAGGCGGTTACCCTAACCTCCGAGGGTTGACTCGCGATGCTTCGATTCGGACTGCTTCGTGACAAAATAGTAGGTGTGGGGCCTAGGCTTAGTAGCCTAGGCCCACACTAGGAGGTAGGTGAGTTCGAGTGAGTTTCTCCTAGGGGAGAGTATCGAGAGATTTGGAAGGGAAGGAAAAAGGGTGTGACTAGCAAGAGTTGGGATACACAAATAGAAAACCCTAAAGGGTTGTACTCAGTATTGAGCACCCCAATGCAGGCTAGACAAATAACATTCTGACACACCCCCATAGCCAAAGTGGGGTGTAATCAGCAGAGCAGGCAAAGTAGTACAAGCTCAGGGTGGATCACAATGTCACCACACATTCTGAGCACAAGTTAAAGAAGCAATAGTTTAAAGTTAAGAATTATGAGCAAAGCTAGTGGTAGTCACAACGGGCAAGTGAGGAGGAGGAGAGAGAGTGAGGGGAGAGGAGATAGGAGGAGACGGCTGAAGCTGCAGACACACGGGCAACAGGAAACAGACTGGCACAGCGGCTACCGGACAGCGCCCGGACTACAGGAGTAACAGGCCCCGCGGCTCAAGTAGCGGCAGACGGGCAACGGACCCACGGGCGGCTGGCGTAGAAGTCTAGCTCACTGGGCTACCGGGACAGCGCCCCGGACTACAGGTGCTGCGGACTACAGGACGGCAACTTCCATGCAGCTTCCCCAAACAGTCCCACCCCCCCTGACACACACCCGCTGCTACACCGCTAGCTCCACTCCCACGCACCCCCCTTAAACCCTAAACCCCAGTCTCCCACACAACCACCCCCCTCAGCGACAGCTGCAGCAGTGGGAGACGAAGGAGGAGGAGGAAAGGGAGGAATGCACACCAGCCACCCCCATACCCGGAAACGGGGGCGCAGACAGTAGCAGAGCGCACTAGGCACGGGCAGCAACAGGCACGGGCAGCACAGGCACGGGCAGCACAGGCACGGGCAGCAACAGGCACGGGCAACACAGGCACGGGCAGCACAGGCACGGGCAGCACAGGCACGGGCAGCATAGGCACGGGCAGCAACAGGCACGGGCAGCACAGGCACGGGCAGCAACAGGCACGGGCAGCACATGCACGGGCAGCACAGGCACGGGCAGCAACAGGCACGGGCAGCACAGGCACGGGCAGCACAGGCACGGGCAGCAACAGGCACGGGCAGCACAGGCACGGGCAGCAACAGGCACGGGCAGCACAGGCACGGGCAGCAACAGGCACGGGCAGCACAGGCACGGGCAGCACAGGCACGGGCAGCACAGGCACGGGCAGCACAGGCACAGGCAGCACAGGCACGGGCAGCAACAGGCACGGGCAGCACAGGCACGGGCAGCAACAGGCACGGGCAGCACAGGCACGGGCAGCACAGGCACGGGCAGCAACAGGCACGGGCAGCACAGGCACGGGCAGCACAGGCACGGGCAGCAACAGGCACGGGCAGCAACAGGCACGGGCAGCACAGAGCGTACCGGGTCCAGGGGCGGCAGCTGCTGCAGGCGCTGGCGGCGGCTGCTGCTGCTGCAGGCTCTGGCGGCGGCTGCTGCTGCAGACTCTGGCGGCGGCTGCTGCTGCAGGCTCTGGCGGCGGCTGCTGCTGCAGGCTCTGGCGGCGGCTGCTGCTGCAGGCCTGGCGGCTGCTGCTGCAGGCCTGGCGGCGGCTGCTGCTGCAGGGCGGCGGCGTCTGTTGCTGCAGGCCTGGTGGCGTCTGCTGCTGCAGGGCGGCGGCGTCTGCTGCTGCAGGCCGGCGGCGGCTGCTGCTACAGGAACTGACGGCGCCCCGCGGGTCCCGCATGGGGCGTCGCGACGAGCAGGGGCGACGCCCCGCGGGTCCCACAGGGGGCGTCGCGACGAGTAGGGGCGACGCCCCGCGGGTCCCGCACGGACGTCGCGACGAGCAGGGGCGACGCCCCGCGGGTCCCGTAGGGTCGTCGCGACGACTAGGGGCGACGCCCCGCGGGTCCCGCGCGGGCGTCGTGACGAGCAGCGGGGAGGGCAGCGCGCAAGCCCCCCCGAGGGCGCTTCGATGGACGGGCGCGCGGCGGGCAGAAAAAAGCCGCCACGCGCTCGGAGCGCGTGGCGGGAAGAAAATGCAGAGCCGCGCGCCACGGGGCGCGCGGCGGACAGTAGGGCAGCGGAAGACGTTGGTGGGCCCGTTAAGCTAGGCGGCAGGAACATGCTCGCTCTAGATACCATGACAAAATAGTAGGTGTGGGGCCTAGGCTTAGTAGCCTAGGCCCACACTAGGAGGTAGGTGAGTTCGAGTGAGTTTCTCCTAGGGGAGAGTATCGAGAGATTTGGAAGGGAAGGAAAAAGGGTGTGACTAGCAAGAGTTGGGATACACAAATAGAAAACCCTAAAGGGTTGTACTCAGTATTGAGCACCCCAATGCAGGCTAGACAAATAACATTCTGACACTTCGCTAGTGTCCTGAGTTTCGACACGACAGAGGCGCTTAAGACTTATTATTCCCAACACTCCCCTTCGCTTCTGGAGTGTCGCTGATGGTGACGTGGCCTTGTCTGGTCAGCATCATGCAGTACTCGAACTTCTGTTTTCCGAGCTTCTTGGTCAAATAATCGGCTGCCATCTCGGACGTGGGACAGTAGGATAATTCGAGTTTCCTTTTCTCGATCTCGTCCTTCACGAAGAAGTATGTCAGATATATATGACATAGCTGTTGTAGGCTATAGTGGGGTAGCACATATGGGGTACAGCTCTCTAGGGTTTGTATTTGTACCCAACTTTCACTTAGTCATTTCATTCCTGTTCTAGTATTCTCACATGGTATAGAGCGGGTTCCCTGTGGGAACTTCGCCTAGGGCCCACCGAAGCGCGCCCCGAGGCGCGCTAACCTTTTTTTCTCTCTCTCGAGCGACCCTCCGTGTCGCCCTTCCCTCGCGGCCCCGCTGCCCTTTCAGACGCGGCCCCGCCGCCCCTTTCGAACGCGGCCCCGCCCCCATTTCAGACGCGGCCCCGCCGCCCACTTCGGACGCGGCCCCGCCCGCCCCTTCAGACGCGGCCCCGCCGCCCGCTCCGACGCGGCCCCGCCGCCTGCTCAGCCGCGGCCCCGCTGCTGGCTCCGACGCGGCCCAGCCGCCCACTCGGACGCGGCCCCGCCGCCTGCTCAGCCGCGGCCCCGCCGCCCACTACGAAGCGGCCCCGCCGCCTGCTCTGACGCGGCCCCGCCGCCTGCTCTGACGCGGCCCCGCCGCCTACTCAGGCGCAGCCCTGCCGCCTGCTCAGCCGCGGCCCCGCCGCCTGCTCAGCCGCGGCCCCGCCGCCCGCTCCGACGCGGCCCCGCCGCCTGCTGAGCCGCGGCCCCGCCGCCCTCCCCTCCGACGCGGCCCCGCCGCCTGCTCAGACGCGGCCCTGCCGCCCGTTCTGACGCGGCCCCGCCGCCGTCACTCACGGCCACCCCGCCCTTGCGCGGCCCCGCCGCCTCCTACCTGCGGCTCTACGGCCGCCTCTACTGCGGCCCTTCGCCGTCCCTGCAACCCGGCCCCGCCGCTCCTTCCTCTCGCGCCGCCCAACTGCGGCAGCCGAGCCGCCCGCCTGCAGCAGCCGAGCCACTCACCTGCAGCAGCCGAGCCGCCGGACCACCGAGCAGCAGTGCACCCGAGCCGCCCTGCACCCGAGCCGCTCTGTCGCCGAGCCGCCCGGGAGCCGAGCCGCCCAGTAGCCGAGTCGCTGAGTCGCCGAGCCGCCCTTCTGCAGAGCTGCCCGACCTGCCCTGCCCGGTGAGCACAGTACCGCTGTCACTGCGTGCTCTTCCCCTACTGCTTGCACTGCTTCGCTGTCGTCGTCATGGCTACCCCTAGTGTCCTAGCTTTTGACGCTGAGGGTCGCGCCATTGACTTTGAGGTCTGGGTAGACGACCTGCAGTTGTTTTTACAGTGCGATAGGGCAGACGGCCTCTCTCTCTTTGACCTCACTTCTGGCGCCTCTCCTGCCCCCGCTGCTGATGCTGATCCCACTGTGCGCTCTCAGTGGGCCACCCGCGATGCTGCTGCACGTCTTGCTGTGCGTCGCCACCTCCCTACCTCTGAGCGCACGCACTTTAGTCAGTACAAGAGTGCTCAGACCTTGTACGACGCTGTAGTTGCGCGCTACTCCTCCCCTGCCACTGCTGCACTGAGCCGTCTCATGCTTCCCTACCTCTTTCCTGACCTCTCTGCCTTTCCCACTGTTGCTGACCTCATTACGCACCTCCGCACTAGTGACACTCGCTACCGCGCCGCCCTTCCTGCTGAGTTCTGCGCTAAGAACCCCCCCCCCATGAACATCACTCTCTACTACGTAGTCGCGCGCCTCCCTGACTCCCTTCGCGTAGTCAGGGACCACTTTCTCGCAGTCTGTCCCACCACCCTCACCGTCGACGTCCTCGAGAAGGCCCTCCTCGCGGCGGAGAAGAGCATCGTCGCTGTAGGAGCTTCTCGTGGTGACCCTCGCACCCCCATCTTTGAGGGGTGCTCTCCTTCCCCCCTCCTGCCCTCTGTTGCCTCTGCTGCTGCTGCCGACCTGCTTGGTCTCGAGTCGGTTGGCGCGGCGTCTGCCCCTAGTGGGAGACGCCGCTCTGGCAAGGGCAAGGGGGGCAAGGGCGCTGGTGGAGCTGGAGGGAACGGTGGAGGTGGCGGTGGAGGCGGCGGAGGGAGTGGGGGTGGCGGCGGGAGTGGTGGCGGGGGTGGTGGTGGTAGTGGTGGCAGCGGCGGAGGAGGCGGCGGTGGTGGCGGCGGCGGTGGTGGTGGCGGCAGTGGTGGCGGTGACGGTGGGGGAGGCGGTGGCGGAGGAGGCGGTGGTGGCGTAGGAGGTGGAGCTGGTCGAGGCGGTACCCAGCAGCGGAGCGGCGGTGGTGGTGGTCAGCGCTCGCAGCAGCAGCAGCAGCAGCGTTCGCGTGACGTCCCTCCGCCCCAGCAGCTCCGTGAGTGGTACACTCGGCGTCAGAGGGGTGGGGGTACTGGTCCTTGTACCTACGTCCTTCGCTCTGGCGACCGTGCGGGTGAGCAGTGTGGGGGTGCCCACTCCACCCAGCGCTGCTTTGGCCGCCTGACGGACGCTTGGCGTCAGCAGTTCCCCGGGGCTAGTGAGATCCCTCGCTGGGATGAGCTTCTTAGAGCTGGTGTAGCGATCTTTGATCTTGATTTTGATGCTATCCTTGCTGCTATGTATACTGTGACTATTAGTGAGGAGGGTGACTGTTACCGGTGTTTCCCGCCTGACCCAGGCATTGGTACTGCTGCGCTAGGTGCTTGTGAGGCTGCTGCTCTAGGTGCCAGTGCGTCTGTGCTCTCAGGTGCTGGTGAGACTGCGCTCTCAGGTACTGCGTCGCCTCCGTCCTCCCTCACTTTCACACTTGACTCCGAGGCTTCTCGCTCCTTCTTTCGAGACCGCACTACCCTCACGCCGCTTGACCGGCCCGTTGCGGTCTCCCTGGCTGACCCCTCTGGGGGTCCTGTCCTCTCTCACTTCTCCACTGTCCTCCCGTGTCCGCCTGCCCCTTCGGGCACCCTGTCTGGTCTGTACCTTCCCTCGTTCTCTACGAACTTGGTGAGTGGCGCGGACCTGCAGGATGTGGGGGTTCACCAGTTCACTCCTGCGAGTCAGCGGGTGACCCACTGCACGGAGGCACGCACAGGCCGACACCTGGCCACGTTCTCGCGTCGACCGGGGTCGAGTCTCTACACCCTGACCGTTGAGTCTCCTCCTGTCCCTGCGTCTGGTCAGGTAGCTGCGTCAGGTCAGGTGCTTGCTGCTGCGTCCTGGTCAGGTCCTGAGTCTGCCCCCTGTTCTTGTCGCCTCCTGTCTCACGAGACTCTCCTGTGGCACCACCGTCTTGGCCACCCCTCCTTGCCCCGTCTTCGGAGCATGGCTTCCCGTGTCCTTGTCTCTGGTCTTCCCCAGTCTCTCCCTCCCCTTCCCTCCGGGCCAGGACCTTCCTGTGTCCCCTGTGTCGAGGGTCGCCTCCGGGCTGCTCCTCACTCCTCCCAGTTCCCCCCGACAGAGGCTCCTCTGCAGACGCTTCACATGGACGTGTGGGGCCCAGCCCCCGTCTGTGGGCAGGGTCACGAGCGCTACTTTCTGTTGGTGGTTGACGACTACTCGCGTTACACCACAGTCCTCCCCTTGCGCAGCAAGGGTGCTGTCACTGAGGTGCTGATCGACTGGATCCGCGAGGCTCGTCTCCAGCTCAGGAAGAGCTTCGGCTTGGACTTTCCTGTTCTGCGTCTGCACTCGGACAGAGGCGGAGAGTTCTCCTCGCGCCTTCTGCGAGACTACTGTCGTGCACGGGGGATCCGCCAGACCTTCACGCTTCCGGACTCTCCACAGCAAAATGGGATTGCTGAGCGCCGCATTGGCATGGTCATGGATGTCGCTCGTACGTCCATGATGCATGCGGCTGCCCCCCATTTTCTGTGGCCGTTTGCGGTGAGGTACGCAGCGCATCAGCTCAACCTTCACCCCCGGGTCTCTCGGCCCGCGATGTCCCCAGTCTTGCTGTGGACGGGGAAGGTTGGCGATGCGTCGGCGTTCCGTGTCTGGGGATCTCGGGCGTTTGTCCGCGACTTGTCTGCGGACAAGCTGTCCCCTCGTGCTGCTCCCTGTGTCTTCCTTGGCTTCCCCACAGACGCTCCCGGGTGGCAGTTTTACCACCCCTCCTCTCGTCGTGTTCTGTCCTCCCAGGACGTCACGTTCGACGAGTCAGTCCCCTTCTACCGCCTCTTCCCCTACCGCACTCCTTCCCTCCCCCCTCCGCATGACTTCCTTGTGCCGGTTCCCCCCCCGGTAGACCCCCTC